TCTTGTCCTTCCCTGACAGTCATTACATGGCGACTTATGCTAATAACACTCGGAAAACGCGCAACAGCTCCTCATAGAGTTCGTGGGTGGCCCTGAAAAGGGCCTTTTGCGACAACGGAGAAAAGCGCAGCCAAAGCTTAACCACCAAAGCCATAGAGCGTGCGTCCCTGGCGCTTGAGCGCGTAGACCACGTCCATGGCCGTGACGGTCTTGCGCTTGGCGTGCTCCGTGTAGGTGACGGCGTCGCGGATCACGTTCTCCAGGAAGACCTTCAGCACCCCGCGGGTCTCCTCGTAGATGAGGCCGGAGATGCGCTTGACGCCGCCGCGCCGGGCCAGGCGGCGGATGGCGGGCTTGGTGATGCCCTGGATGTTGTCGCGCAGGACTTTGCGGTGGCGCTTGGCGCCTCCTTTTCCGAGACCCTTTCCACCCTTACCGCGACCAGACATGTTGGAGAATCTGAGCTGAAGTCAAACTACTCAAGCGCCCTCTACAGCTGCTATATATACGAGGACTGCGGACCTCTTAGGGAACTGAAAAGGCGCGGGCGGGAAGGTGCTTTTGTATCCGCCCCTCTACCTCACCGGCTGACTTGACTGCCTGGAGGAAGGCACCGGCGCTGTGCTCGAGGGGAATGTGCGTCTTCCGCTTTCCTCTTGGAGTTCTTAGTTACCAGGTCGTGTCCTTCAGGAGTGTGCTTGTGCGTTCTGACAGCTGATACTTGATAGTTGTCCTAACCATACATCATTTGTAAAAAGGAGGTTGTAGCCGCACACTTGCCTACAAAACCAGACATAGTTCAATAAGATTGCCTTTTAAGTGGAAGATTTAGAAAAAAGTCAATTTTTGCTAGCATTATTAAATCTGACCTGTCATGAAGTTTTGCCGTTGTCGGAGGCCTGCACAAGCTCCGTTTTCAAATTTCTACGAAGGGAGCTGGTATTGATCGAATATATGTACTGTTTTTCATCTCATGAAATGCTGTTTCATCTGGAAAGATGAAGACTTGCCCAGGCTGGAAAGCTAATCCTCTTTTAAAAAAAGCTATTGTTGCTGGGGTGGGTTCTGTGTCTCATAGCCTTGCTATCCCCTGTTGTCTGTTGCAAGGAAACAGCTAACGTTTGCAAATTAAACAAGAACACCCAAATTCTGTAAAGTAACATCTCAATAATATGTTACAGAAGTAAGGCTGTACACATACGTCACTGTGATATGTGTGATAGGAGAATTTCGATGTTTTCTCAGGCTGCACACAATTTGGTTCAGTGCCCTTTTGAACACTACAGAGGTATTTATTTAATTATTTTTTTGAGGCAGTGGAGCACAGGTAGTCTTGGAATACACTCTAATTCAGACTGAAATCGAATCTGAGGCAATTTAACTTTTTTAGCGTCTGAGCAGGTGTGATCCTCATCCTTGTCTGGAGAGGTCATCTTGAAGATGTGCTTTGGCTAGTGCTTGTCTGAGATATTTCTGTGATGACGGAAGAGGAAAAACTATTTTAAAAAAGTCCCAATTACTCAGAATGTAGTTGGTATTTAGCTTAACCCAATTGACCCACAGAGATTTCCCACATTTCTTTTCAGAAAGACACATTTTACACCCCATTCACTCTAAATGCCAGAATGCCAAAACTGGTGTGAGCACACCAGGTTTCGACAACAGAGTGGCACATCCTCCCTCCCCACCTAAAGAACTCAAAGGCCACGTGTGGGAAAACTAACTTCGGGGTGAGGGGTCGGATGGGGCATCAGCTCAGCATATTCCTAGCTGTTTCCCAGTATCGTCGTGAAGCAGCCATAGCCTGGTTGCATTGACCTTGCTCTGAGACGTGTTAAACACAGTTTCAGTTATGCAGACTCTGGATGGGAATGTGCTGTATACTGGAGAAGGGGTCTTTCTAAAGACAGGGAGGATTCAGAATATTCCTCAAGCATACTAGAGTCTATTCAGCTTCCACATGTGAAAGACTTTACAGATGTGGGGGTGGGGTGGGGTCAGGGACCTAATATTTGGAAGCATTCATTTAAATACTTCAAAGTGCCCAATTTAGAAAATGAAATTAATGCAGACTGGTTATGCTTGGGAGAAACTTTCAAGTTGCCACAATCTTCACGTAATGTCAATGGAAGGGAATGTACAATCGAGACCTCTAACTTCTGGACCTTTGGAGCACATTTGACTCCGCTAACGCTGTCTCCTTCCCCTTATTTTATTTTCTCTTCTTGATACTTATCTCATTGTTATTATTTTCTGAAGCAGAGTTTCTCTGTGTAGCCCTAACTGTCATGGAGCTTGCTCTGCAGACCATGCTGGCCTCAACTTTAGAGACCCACCCTCCTCTGTTTCCAGAGTGATGGGATTAAAGGCGTGGAGCACCACCGCCCGCCCGGTTGATACTTACCTTATACAAACACACTTCCCTATAGCTTTCGAAAGTTTTAGATTTTATAATACCCAAGAACATGTCCTGTAGGTGAAGCATGAGACTCGTATCTCTCAGCATTAGTATGGTAATGGTATACATTTGTGTGTGTCTATCTAACACAAAATTGAAAGAAGATGAAGCCATAAGTTTCGGCTTTCACTTATCTTAGGAATTTTTATTATGTTTTTAATCTCTATAAAAAAGGTTCAAGGTTTACTAATGAGCATAAGGTGCTCTTTCAGGGCACAAGTAGTTTTTGCATTCAAGACCAAAAACTTGTTTTTGATGTTACTCTTCAAAATAATGAGTGAAAATGAATGAAGGTCTTGTGGCTTCCAGTTTGTATTCCCATGGTTGATGCAAGTTTTAAGAACCTTGTTCTTGCTAGTTATAGTAATAAGTCACCAGACCACAGCAGTAACAAAGTTAACTGTATGCAAAAAATTAGGAAAGAGAATTTAATGGTTCTAAAACTTTCTCATAGATGGGGGGTTTAAATAGTCATAACGCCCAGTAAGACTCGTGCAAGAATGAAATGGTAATATCTGCTAACTGAATAAATATAAGTACGCAATTGTAAGTAGTTAGCAACTGCTGTCATCATCCAATAAGAATCCAGCTATATCAGCTTCATTGTATTGCAAACTAATGGAGATAGAGTTTTCAAGTCGTTCCTGCTCACTCTGAAATGTTTGTTCAAGTTCTCAGGCGGATACAACCAGCTAATAATTTTGCTTATGACAAACTATTATATATGTAATAAGAATTATAAAAATTCAAAAACAGATTTTCCTTTCAAATCTGCTTGTTTTCCAATATTGGTATTCAAAATATTCTAAAACACAAGAAATATGTAGAAAATGCTATGATAGATGTTGGTCAGGGGGAAAAGCTTTATGAGTGTCCTGAAGTCACATGTTTTTCTAAAAAAGGAATGAGTTTTCAAGCCAGGTTATATTCCACTGTTCTTCAGCTTCCAGGAACTTATGTCCCTTCTTGACCTAAGTTTCTTGTTCCATGAATGTGTGAGTTGGTCTCCCCTTTCAGAGTCTGAAGAAATGTGCTTAGAGCTGTTGATCTAGAATAGGAAAGGCACAGACTCATCCCATCTCCAGAAAATGGCTAAATCACTAAAACAAGGACATCGAACCGGAATTATACACTATGGTATTTCGAATACCTTAAAAAACAATCGATATTTTATACAATAATCATTCCCCAGGCACGCACAACTTTCCCGTCCAGTGCCAATTCCTAGAGCTCGGTGCAGACCGCCCCGGACCGCCTGTGCTGTTACTTCCGCGAAAAACCCGAATTTCCTTACGTATTTGAGTCAAAAGAAGTTCGTCTGTACAATCCAGACACGATAAGAATGTGCAGAACCATATCCTGAACTAAAAGTTCGCGAATGATGGCGAGAGAAATAGAATTTTTAAGGAAAACCTTAAAGTTGTCTCAATTTACGTTAAGTTTGAAAGAGAGTTGGGGCAATCAGGGGAGTTTCAGGCTGCCCATTTTGAATATAGCTGTACAAACTGAGGCAAGAATGAAGCCTACAGGCTCTCGGATCAGTTTCCCCCAGGTTCCCAATGATTTCCTGCCCATATTTCTTTTATTTTTACTCTTTTTTAAGGGGCAACAAACACAGCCACAAGGCAGAGCTGAAGATCCCTTCTCCGGCGGCGCGGCGCACGGCGCAGGGAACCAATCACCACGCAGCTTCTCTCTATATAAACCCAGAGCCTTCAGCACCGGGAACAACCCTCTCTGACAGTTTGCGCTCACTTTTGGCTTTCCTAGCGAGGCGTAAGCCATGTCTGAGACCGCGCCAGCAGCCCCCGCTGCTCCTGCACCTGTGGAGAAGACACCTGTGAAGAAGAAGGCGAAGAAGACCGGCGCCGCCGCGGGGAAGCGCAAGGCGTCCGGACCCCCGGTGTCCGAGCTCATCACCAAGGCTGTGGCCGCCTCCAAGGAGCGCAGCGGCGTGTCCCTGGCCGCGCTCAAGAAGGCGCTGGCGGCCGCCGGCTACGATGTGGAGAAGAACAACAGCCGCATCAAGCTGGGGCTCAAGAGCCTGGTGAGCAAGGGCACCCTGGTGCAGACCAAGGGCACCGGCGCCTCCGGCTCCTTCAAGCTCAACAAGAAGGCGGCTTCCGGCGAGGCCAAGCCCAAAGCCAAGAAGGCAGGCGCGGCCAAGGCTAAGAAGCCCGCGGGCGCAGCCAAGAAGCCCAAGAAGGCGACTGGGGCCGCCACACCCAAGAAAGCCGCCAAGAAGACCCCGAAGAAGGCGAAGAAGCCAGCTGCAGCTGCCGGGGCCAAGAAAGTTGCCAAAAGCCCGAAAAAGGTGAAGGCAGCTAAGCCCAAGAAGGCAGCCAAGAGTCCAGCGAAGGCGAAAGCCCCCAAGCCCAAGGCTGCCAAGCCTAAGGCGGCCAAGCCGAAGGCCACCAAGGCAAAGAAGGCCGCCCCCCGTAAGAAGTAAAGTGGCGCGTCCTGCCTTAAATCTCAAAACGGCTCTTTTCAGAGCCACCCACAGATCTCATTCAAAAGAGCTGAACTTTCTGGTAAATGTTTTAGATTGCCTTTTGTGGCATTGGTCAGCTGACTCCACCTTCGCGGCCTGATGTAGAGCTGGGTTTCATCGGGAGTTCCTTTCTGTAGGTGCCCTGGGTATGGGTCTACGTGTCCTGGAGGGTCTTAAGTGTCCTGCACAGAGCTAGGGTCCGTCATTTAACCATCAATTTGTTGGCTCCGGGCCGATGCAATTACTAGGGAAGAGCATTGGCCTCCTGGGCGGGTTCTGTCTACACAGGCGTTTTTACGCTCACAACCTTGGCGGGAAGTCCTCTCGTCTCTACCCCTAGGCAATCCAATCCGACAACAGGGTTACAGGCTGGAGTTGAGTCTGAAGTTTTTCCAATCGGTCTGCCGACCGTGGTTTTGAGAATTACCCAATCAGATCATCCTCAGTAATGAGTAGGGACACGTTGCACCAATCAGAGATGGAGACACTTTGCATTTGGGTAATGGGACGCGGGCATCTTTCTCGGTCCCTGCCCCTCTGCTTGCCCCTCTGGAAATTATGTGGGTCCTAAGGGTATGAGAGGCTGAGATGTTGAATTTTTTTGTTTGCTTAGAAATGGAAAGAGCTTGAATTTTCCCAATAGCTCTCCACCTTTGGAATTTTTAGGGAGTGATCACATTGTCATTCTGCTTAAATTTGTGTAAGCTTTTTAAAACATCCTGACGGTAAGTTTTAGTAAAAGTCAGCACTTTTGGCATTTTTACATACCGCATTGCTTCCTTATACATTAATCTGAGCTTATGTACTCTTCCTTATTTGGTGAATAGAACAGTAGACAATGAAGAAACATTTTTGGAATGCTGTCTGGTTTGCAACCGGCCTTCTGAAAGTTAGGCAAGAAAAAAAGCATACACACACAAAAAAAGCTGAACTGATTTTGTGGGTGTCATTTCTATGTCATCATTGTAGGTATTCAATTTTTTTTTTAATTTTTAATGGAGTTCCTGGTAGTAAGATATTACATAGCACTTAAATTCTTTTTCATTGTGTATATTAGTGTGTGTGTAGGTCAGGGCATAACTTGCAGCAGTCAGTTCTCTTCTTCCCCCGTGTGGGCTTCAGGCCTTGTGGAAAGCGCCTGTACCGACTAAAATACCACATGTGTGTTCTTATAAGGCTGTATTTCAACCTAGCATTTCCTTAAGAGGGGAGTGGACCACTTAGAGATGGTTCAGTAGGTAACGAATCTTGTAGACTGAAGACCTGAGTTAAATCCCGGGACCCTTGTGACGGAAAAGAACAGATGTCCAAGGTGTCCTTGGACTCCCCAAGGCCGGGGTCTGTGTAACCCACACCCACACCAGAGAAGGTAATACTGTAGTGATAGACACTGAATTTGAGCTTCATGTCATTAAAAAAGTAACTGAAAGGATAGGTAGCTTCCTATTACATTTCCACGTGCCCATGGTGTGGTCTGTGTAAGCAGACACTTGCAGAATATTCTGCAATTGTTGTGTCTCCAAATGAAGTTCATGTTTTGAGTATTCCTTCTGTCTGTTGCAGGAGTTGATTATCTGATGTTGCTAAAAATGATGAATGAATACACAGGCAAAATATTTTATGGTAACTATTTTTCTTATCTTGTATACTTTAAGTACGTAAAAAAATCATTGTTTTAAGAATGTATGGTAGCTTTCCACAGCCATTCCCATTGACTGCACGGCAAGAAGGAAGTTGGGGAGTGCTGAGCAGGTCCCCAATGGGACAAGGCCCAGTAGACATGGCTGTTGCCATATTTATGCCCTTTCATCCCAGCTCTCGGGAGGCAGAGGTGGCCGTCTTCCTTTTCTCTTGTTTCTTTCTTGGAATGTGCATTTGATTGAATATCTAAAATCCCTTGATCTGAATTAGAATACTGTCTGATATCAATTGGATTTAGAGATTTAAAATACATTTACCAATATATACTAGAATGTATATTAACACAATGGGGATGTTTTTCTGACCCTTCCTCTTTATGGCCTAATTTATTTCCATCTCCCTTTCCTGTTGAAGTATGCAACTTCAAATTTTGTGGGAATCTACAAAATATAAAAAAAGTGTCCAAATGTGAAATGTCAATATATACAATATGTGGATGGAGTAGAGAACATAAACAAATAAGTAAATGGTATTTTTGAATTTTTGTCCATTTTAGCTATCATTTCTGCAATACAAAAGTTGCTGGCTATTTATGAATTATCTTGCTTTTTTTTTCTTTTCTAAATCCATCATTGAGGGTCATCGTCATATTAAATACTCTAATAACAAAAGACATGTGAACAAATGAGACAGCTTGTAGTTTTACATAGCACAGGAATCTTTGGACTCCAACCCATGGGTAATTTAAACATTTTATTTTTCAGTAATAAAAGAACTGATAGTGCCACAATAATACAGGAATTGGATATTCTCTTTTCTAAGACCATATTTAAACTTCACTCTTTGGGAAGGAATGTACGTACATACATATATACACTGCTAATGATTTGTTTGCTTAGTTACCTAGGTGTCATCCAAATGACTGGCTCAGGAGGAATGTCTAAGGTCTTCGGTGTTTTTGAACACCCACTCCTAATACAGAGGCGATTTTATAAGGAGAAAAGCACCAACATGTATCATTGTGTAGAAACATGATTGGAGGGAATGCATATAATTCATTTCTGGGACACTATGTGATGAGACCTAGCCAGGCCCATTTCTTATTCTTCTTTGCCTCCATGTGACATCCTTCTTCCTAGGGATGGGCAGAACTTCATAACTGATGATGTGTTGTGATCTACTTTTGGACAATTACGTTTGTGGATTTTAAAAATTATTATCATCATTATTAGTATGGCTAGCTGCAAGATTAAAAGGTTGGTGGAAATGACTGTTTTAGTACTTATTGTTTACTTTGAGAAGTATGGCTCTGGTTTTCCTACCCTGGGGAAGAGAGAGTCTTGTTTCTAAGCCTTATCTTTGGAAGAGGTAGAGATGAGAATTGAAGTTAAGAATTTTTACTTCTGAAACACTTCTGATACTAAACTTATTGTATTATTTTGAATTTTGTAAAACTTTGTTTTTATTATTATTATTATTATTATTATTATTATTGACAAAGTCTCACTATGTGTGTAACTCCTGATACATACCAGACTGGCTTTGAACTCATAGAGATCCGCCTGCCTCTGCTTACCAGTCCTGGGGTTTAAAGGTGTGTTTCACCATGAGAAAGCCCAGTTTTGAGTGTTTGAGACAGTCTATTCACCTCTCCCATGATAACCTCAGACTCACTACACAGCCAAGGATAAATGAATTTCTGATCCTGCCTCCATTCTCATATTTTGGGATTACAGGTATCTGCCACTTTGCACATCTTCTGACACTTTAATTTTGGGGTATTTTGAAAAAAATTATGCCTGTAAGCCTGAAATGACTATACAGCATTATGTATCACTCATCGGACACCACACACATGGTCATCTTTTGGATGAAGTATCACATTGTATGTACTACCTGTGTGTGTGGGCTGATGAACAGCCTAGATATGGCTATTAGTTTTCCCAAATTTCAATGTGGGAGAAAATATTTAAAGTTGGAAGTACTAACCATTTTACATTTTTTAAAAATTAGAATTTAAATCTACAGAGTTAAAGCTTGCAGTAAGCTTTTAAAGCTACATTTTTATATTATTACATGTTGGAAATAAAGTAATCAAGTGTTATTAACCAAAATTATTGAAGTATTAGAGATACTTTAAAAATGTTTTTTATGTTACTAGTTATTTTGAGTTTTAAAAAAAGGCACCTATAAATTACAAGACGCACATGTGTGATCTTAACTGACTTGTTTCATGATTTTTCCTAAAAGCATTTGAGTGTCAACTACTATTCTTATTGGTTGTCTTGACAGGCATTAGGTTTAGAATGGGCAACATCAGTTTCATAGCCCACCTTCCACTTACCTTCTGAAAAGGTGGAGGTATCAGGGTTTCATTAAATCTCATTGGGTGGAAGCTACCTCCCCTTTGCCAGAGGAATGAAATTGATGTTCTGGTCTGGCCTTGGATAGAAATATGGCATTCTGATTTGGTTTAAAGATTAGAGCATTGCCTATTCATCATTTAGCTAAAAGACCCCACCACCACACACACATCCTACTTAAAAAAACAAAAAACCAAAAACTGATATCTTGACGATGTGTTAAAGACCTGGGAAAAATAATTATCCACTTAATGGGATAGTGTACTTACATGTTCCAGGAGTCCCTTTTAAAAAGATGATGTTTCCTGACAAGTTTTCTAAGTTCTAAAACAATACATCTTTATCTTGTCCTTTTTCTCTTCTCTCTTTTTCTTTCCTTATGAGGCAGTCTTTTTTTCTTTTTCTCCCCCCCCTCCCCCCCCCACCAAAGACAGGGTTTCTCTGTACCCTTGGCTGTCCTGGAACTTACTCTGTAAACTAGGCTGGCCTCAAACTCAAAGATCCTCCTGCCTCTGCTTCCGGAGTGCTGGATTTAAAGGCCTGTGCCACCACAACCTGCCAAAATCTTACTATGTATGTAGCACTGGCCTGGCCTGAACTTGCTATCTAGACCAGGCCTGCCTCTTGCTGGCCAAGTGGGGGGATTAAAGGCATGGAGCACCTTGTCCAGGTTTTCTTTCCTAAGCCTGTTTGCCTTTGATACTCTTGGCTTCTGCTTTCTCTAAAGAACCCCCTCAATTCCCCTTTACAAATGCTTGCCAACTCCAGTGGTTGAACATCCGTGCTTTCTAGGACCCCAATTCAAAGGCATAGCCATTTCCTTCTTTTTGGCA